CCTCCCCCAGACTGCTGGCAGCCCCCTCTGGTGGGCACACCCATGGGTGGGGGACCTCTTTCCAAGTTCATCACTTCTGGACTTCAGATTTCACCTGTTCCTGCTGTTCCTGGGGTCTTCGCTGCCCTAAAGTTTAATGCAGAACCCAACATGTTAAAGCCCCTATTTGAAGCCTGTGACTCAGAACAGCTAGTCCATCTGTAGCAGCGTCAACCTCTCACTGTCTGGAAGATGAGGGTGGTCAAAGCCCACTAGGCTCTTGAATGTGGAGACAGGACTGACATCTCACCAACCCCATGGCATCTGGGGCGTCACCCAGAGCTGATTCCCCAGAGCCCGGGCGCAGGCCTGAGGGAGGAGCCTTTGGGCCTCAGCAGAGTTAGGTTCTGGACAAAGGATGGTCCTGCTGTACCCTGCAGAGACTGCTGGCCTGTCATGAGCTGCTGAGAGCAGTGGCGTCCGGAGTCTCGATGGGTGTGCAGGTGACAACACCACCTGAGTCTAGCTCAGTCGACCTCTGAGAAGGCCCAGCCCATGTCTTCGGAGGGCCAGGTGTGGCTGTGGCCATAGGGAAGGGCCAGCTGACATGTTTTGTGGGGACCGAGCAGGACCAGGTTGAATAGAAGCCACATACCGTTCAGTAGAAGAAAAAGCATCCCCCAAACCCTACTGTCTGGGATACATCCCTGTTTCGGCCACTGTGGCTGCTCTGACCTCTTCAATCCCAGCAGCCAGTGTCACCAGGTGTAATTCTGGTGGCCTTTTGGGTCTGCACCCGGCCCCCTGGGCACTCGGGATGAGTGGAGAGGATGGGGCCGAGGCGGTTCCTTGGGCTCCCCTTGAAAGCTTGTGCTCTGTTGACGTGATTGGGGGCAGTGGGAGGGGACTGACCCGTAGCCAAGTGGCTCCGGGTAGGTGTCGAGGCAGCAGAAGGGGCACTCCCGAGACAGGACCTGGGGTGGCGCGGCCCTTGGAGTGCAGCAGTGACGTCACTGTCTCCCTTCAGCCTCAAGGAGCTGGAGTCCCAGGTGCGGTGTCTGGAAAAGGAGGCCACCGAGCTCAAGGAGGCAGTTGAGCAGCAGAAAGTGAAGAACAATGTGAGTGCTGAGAAGCGTGGGTGTGAGGCTGGCCTTGTGGGAATCCCACCCCTAACCACTCAGGAAAGGGTTTGGCTACCCCTTTATGTCCCGTCGTGCTGTTCGTGCCTGGAAGCCTGCCTGCCTTTGGCGGCTTGGGTGAGGCCTCCTTTCCCCTTTGGGTCCGTCATAAGGCCCAGAGCTGACTCCCTTCCCGTCGGCTTGGGTCACGTGCCCAAGCATGGAGCCCCCTGCCCCCCCTTACCCCCACCCCATGGTGGGGTCAGAATGTACCAGTTGGTCTGGTCTGGGTCATATGGTCACCTTGGAGTAGGGAGGCAATTGTCAGGAGAAGGGGATATGGAAGCCCCTTTCCTCTGCAGGGGGTGCGGAGCCCCTGCTACATCCTCCTTGCCGGGCTGCCCCTCACTGCTCCTCAGGTGGCCCAGGCTCCCTGGCTCCCCCGTCTCCTCTTCCCCCGGGAGCCCCGCCTGGCCCTCCCTGTGCCTGGCGCGGCCAGAGCCAGCTGAGGGGTCGGTGATGACAGGAGCTGCTTCTCTCTGAGGAGCCAGCCGACCCTGTCTTCTCTCTCCTTCACGCTGGAGCCTCCTCACGGCCTGGTGCCACGGCCGCTCCCTAGCGGGCTGCCCCAGAGGAACCAGGCTGCGTGCGCCAAGATAAAGCACGTTTTGTCCCTTGGCAGTCTCCCCGTTGGGGTCTCAAGTGGGGTTGGGGAGGGTTCTCCCTTGCTGCTGAGCCCGGCTCAGGCATCCCGGGTGGGATGTGTGGGCAGCCGACCCTCCCTGGCCGCTGACCTCTCCTGCCTCTGCCCCCAGGACCTCCGAGAGAAGAACTGGAAGGCCATGGAGGCTCTGGCCTCGGCCGAGAGAGCCTGTGAGGAGAAGCTGCGCTCCCTGACCCAGGCCAAGGTCAGAGTCCCACACGCACAGACTCCCTGCTGGTCAAGATTCGGTCGGCAGCAACTGTGTGGTTTAGCAAACCACACAAAACACACAAACCGCGTGCAGAGCAGCCTTGGCCTCGGAGCCTCAGAGATCCATGCCAGGGGGCCCCTCAGAGATCCGTGCCAGGGGCCCCTCGGAGATCCGTGCCAGGGGGCCCCTCGGAGATCCGTGCCAGGGGCCCCTCGGAGATCCGTGCCAGGGGGCCCCTCGGAGATCCGTGCCAGCGGGCCCCTCGGTGATCGTGCCAGGGGGCCCCTCAGAGATGCGTGCCAGGGGGCCCCGAGGCCAGCAGACAGTGTGCCCTGTGCGCCTGCATCGTCCCCCTTACCCTTCTCCTCCCTCTCCTTCATTTCTCCTTAAGGTGAAGAGGGGAACGTACCCCCCGGTACTTTTTCTCACCTGGGCCTTTTGCCATTAGGGTGCAGAGACTGAGCGGCCATGGGGCTATGAGCCCTTCTGGCCTCACTGCCTTTGAGCCCAAGGTTGGCTGTCCTCAAGTTGTTTTTCTCTCTGGCCACTTTCTTGGGGCCCATGAGATCCTGGCCCAGTAAGTCCTGTGGTTGATCTTTACCATAAGTAGCAGAAGGAAAGTTGTCTTTAGCAGCAAGCTGTCTATAGGTCCCGGGATCTGTGCCACCCAGCTCGGCGGAATGTGGGTGTCTCCATGTTTGGGGCCCCACGTTGCCTCTGGAGCCCTGGGCCGGGAGCCAGCACTGAGCTCTGGCCTGGGGACGTGGCCTGCAGTGGCAGCCATGGGAGGCCTCACCCACCCCCTCTTGCCACCCGTTTCTGTCCTTGATGAAAGGCCCCGGGGCAGCTAGCCCTCCCCTCCCAGCCTCGCTCATGCAGAAGGAATGTCTGTCCTGTTATCATGAGCTCTGCAGTGACTTTCATGAGCCTCCCAGGAAGTCTGAGGGTTGTAGCAGATGAGGCCCCAAGACAAGGCAGGAGGTGGAGGGCTGGCCTCAGGTCAACAGCTGTAGTTAGACTCCTCGGAGGTGACCTGGAAGCCTGTGGCCTTTCTGTGGCAAATGCAGGAGCTGTAATGAGAGATGTCACCTGCAGTCATGCAGCCAGATTGATAGGAGCTGGTCTCTGGGTCCTCTGGCCCTTGCCTGGGACTCACGTGGCCAGGCGGCCTGAATGGGGTCATGAGGTCAAGGATTCAGAGCAGGCCACCGGCATCGACCAGCAGCGTTGTTTGCATCGGTGGTGAGCCAAGAAGGGTCCACTTCTGAGACTTGAGTATAGATCACATGGGTGCTGTGGGCGGACGGGGCGTCCGTTTGTCATGCACATTCCAGAACAGCATTGGAAGGTCCTGATCCGGTCAGAGTTCTCGTGTCACCTTCAGGTCTCCAGCCATGCCGTCGGCAGCAGGTTCAACCTACTGGGCACAGGATACTAGATAAGACTTTCTTTTAGCCAGAAACCTCCCCGGGGTCCTCCTTGCGCTTTGCGTGGGAGCCTCAAGGAGGGCGGATGGGGTCTGGCCTGGCAGCCTGGCCAGTGTGAGTCAGGCTTCAGAAGAGCCAGGACCCCAACCAAGCCCTTAGCCCTTCTGGGTGGGTCCCTTCCTTTGCAGAGTGGGGGTCCTGATCCCCGCTGCTCCTGGCTGGCAATAGCCCTTAAGTGGTGGCTGCTAGGAGATTCACCTGTCCTCTGCCTCCCCCTCAGCACCCCCCCCCCCCAGCAGCTTGGTCGTCCACATGCACACAGGAGCACGCACATGCTTATCTGGAGAGCTCCAAAATTCAGAACCGATGGTGGGTAGGTTCCTGCTGGGGGGTGTCAGGAGCCTGCACCTGCCACGTGGGCACCTTGCTGTCTCCCCGTCAGCACTGAGATCTGTCGGGACTGACCCAGCGCAGGCCGAGGTGGCCAGAGCCTGGCTGCTGAGGTTGAGCCCCCACTCCACCGCCCCTTTCGGTCCCACGGAAGCTACCTGTCTTCTCCTTTGATTCTGTTCCTCCCCTGAAGAGCTGAGGTGGGGACCGGGCATCTCCAGGAACACTCCCTGGGGTTGCCCTAAGTGTCACAACTGAATGCTGCGCTCCCCCACCCACCCACCACTGCTCTAGGAGGAATCGGAGAGGCAGCTCAGCTTGACCGAGGCACAGACCAAGGAAGCCCTGCTCGCCCTGCTGCCAGCGCTCTCTGGCTCGGCACACCAGGTAGGAGGCGAGGTGGCTCCCGCGGGACCCCACTGCCCACAGGAAATGTCTCCGGGCCCTACCTCGTGTGTTTTGTGGCAGAGTTACACCGAGTGGCTGCAGGAACTCCGAGAGAAGGGCCCCGAGCTGCTGAAGCCGCCGCCAGCTGGCACAGAGCCCTCCTCGGTAAGCACGGGTGCCGACACACACCCTTGCCGGGGCCGCCGTGGTCACTTCTGCTGTCCCCTGTCGCTGGGAAGGGAGGGTGCCTGGAGCTGCCTCATCAGGCAGCTGGGCGAAACCTTTGTGCTTGGCTAGCCAGACCCCTGTTCTGCCCTCAGGACCTGGCCTCCAAGCTGAGGGAGGCCGAGGAGACCCAGAACAGTCTGCAGGCTGAGTGTGACCAGTACCGCACCATCCTGGCGGAGACGGTAGGGTGCGAGAGGCAGGACCTCTGGCAAGGCTCTTGGCTGGGTGTCCCTCACGGGGCTGCCAGGAAAGAGCTCTCAGAGCCTCCAGGCAGTGGGCAGGCCAGTGGCCCTGGGGGAAAGAGCCCTGGGTTCAGACTCTGGCTCTGTGCGCCCTTGGGCGAGCCGTTGCCCCTGCCTGGGCCCCAAAGGGGATGAAGGAGGTGCTCAGGCCTTCGTTGCTTCTGAGCGGAGGAGAGGGCTGGGCTGCGGGTTTGGAGCTGGGGGTGCAGAGACAGTCGGGACACGGAACAGTCTGGGAAAGGAAGAGGTGGGCATCTGGCTGACGGCGGGCTTGCAGCCACTGTCCGTGTGACTGCCGGAGCCACACTAAGTCTAGAACTCCTGCCCGACCCCGTCCCGGGCCCGAGATCAGCGCTGGTGGCAAACCCAACGGAGATGAGAACCCTGGTGGTGTCCTTCGGGTCACAGACCTCATTCCCCTTCATGGCCCACGCACAGCCTTCGTTCGCACACTGGCCAGAGACCCCACTCGGGGACTGTGGCCCGCCTTCCTCCCCATGTGACAACTATGACGAAGTCAGAGCTGGGCCACGCTGACAGCCAGGCAGCCATCCCAGAGGAGCCAGGGGCACTAGGCTGCGGTTGTGTT